AAAACTTAATTTTTGATTAGTAATATGCATTGCTTAGAACTTCATTTAGACAACTTTAAAGGCGATTTTCTCAATATTTTGATTTTTTTTTTGCACCTTCAGATTCCAGATTTTCAAATAGTTGTATCTCGGCCAAATATTGTTCTATCCGAACAAACCATACATCAATGGAAAGCTATTTATTCAGCTTTCAGATACATATACATACATACACATACATCTCAATTTCACAAAATTGACCCTTATGACTGGTTTTGTGCTGCAGGGTCACATATTAGAATTAGATTGATTGCAAAGGATGCTGATGGACCTGAGAAGGAAAAAAGTTTAAAATAGGCGAGCCGTGTTCATCTCAGAATCATACTAGGCTAAATTACCAAAAATCTATTATATGTGACCCTGGAGCACAAAAGCAGTCATAAGGGTCAATTTTGTGAAATTGAGATTTGTGCATCATCTATGAGCAGAATAAATAATCTTTCCATTGATGTATGGTTTGTTAGGATCGGACAATATTTGAAAATCTGGAATCTGAGGGTGCAAAAAAATCTAAATATTGAGAAAATCATCTTTAAAGTTGTCCAAATTAAGTTCTTAGCAATGCATATTACTAATCAAAAATTAAGTTTTGATATATTTACGGTAGGAAATTTACAAAATATCTTCATGGAACATGATCTTTACTTAATATCCTAATGATTTTTGGCATAAAAGAGAAATGTATAATTTTGACCCATACAATGTATTGTTGGCTATTGCTACAAATATACCCCAGCGACTTAAGACTGCTTTTGTGCTCCAGGGACACATATTTAACTTTGTAATGAAAAATAAAATCATTATTGATGAATATCAATGGTTAAACAGTCACAAGAACAAGCTACAAAATATAGTCGTTTTAATGTTCTCAAACAAACAATATACATAGTGCATTTTTCCTCATTCAGCTCATTCATTGTATTTGTCTCGCAATAAACATGTAAAGAACATAAATCTGACTTTAAGGTGAAAGTGAGATCAGACGCTTCTGTTCGTGTTGAAGTCTTCGTTCTCCGCCGAGCTCAGTCTCTCAAGTTTAGCGAGGAAGCGTTTCTTGCTGGTGTCTAACACAGCGATGCCGCTCTTCTGGAAGTCGTAGCCCAGTCCGTGGAGGTCCTGCAGCCGCTGCCGGATGCAGCTGATGCTGAAATCCAGGACTTTGGGCTTGTGCACGACCTGCTGCGCGAGGATCCCGCCGTCCATCAGACAGTCCAGCTTCTCGTTCAGACGCTCGGACGAGACGAACAGCACCGGCGAATAGTTCAGGATCATCCTCTTGAAGTCCTCCGCGCCGCAGCCCAGCGAGCCCAGCTTCGTCCGCAGGCTCTGGAAGTTCTTCTTCAGGCTCTCGTGCGAGACGTCGAGGATCTGCGTGCCGTGGGATTGGAATAAACCCAGCGCTTCGGTGTTACTCAGCCTCAGAGATCTGGAGAGGAACTCCACGTTGGCTCTGATCCGGTTAGTGCTGCGGATGAAGACGTACAGGTTCCTGGAGATGACGGTTTGGGCGAAGCGCTCTGGATCTTTCCCGTCGAAACTCAAGCAGACGCTCTTCAGGAGCTCCACCATGTTCCTGTTGAGCGCCACGCTGTTGGAGAAGGTCCGCGGCGCGGTGGTCAGCAGCCGGTGCAGGTCTTTGCCGGTGATTCCCAGCGTCATCAGGAAGGCGATGTTCTCCTCCAGGTTCTTGTTGTCGCTGGAGCGGAAGAAGGACTCGGGCGAGCGCGAGAGGATCCCCACCACCTCGGCGTCGCTCTTGAAGACGTTCCTCCAGAGCCTCCAGCGCTCCTCCAGGTGCTCGCAGGAGCGGGTGATGGAGCGCGGGAAGCGCGAGATGATGCTAGCGATCGTCTCTTGATCCGCGCCTTTGCTCTTCAGGAAGAGCGCCAGGCCTTGTTCATTAGTCAGGAGTTTCCTCAAGACACCCGGCTGCCGCTTGCGGGCCGAGGCGAGGTCCACGCCCATAACAGAGAGGTTCTCCAGGAGAGACTCGTTCTCCAGAGGAGGGTCGTGATTGGACGGTTTGGAGCTGCAGGGGCGGGACGTGACAGGAAGTGATGCACATCTGCAGACGGGCCGCAGGAAGTGCAGGATCTGCCTCTGGAACATCACTCGGCACACCTGAGAAGATAGTTTACGGTTGAAGAACCCATGATGTCTGGCGCCTAGCTTGTTTATTAGCACAGGATCCACAAGGGTTTAAAATGAATTCTGATTCTGTTATTGAGATGCTATTATAGTTATTTTTATATTTTCATTTTAACCTTATATGAGGACATTCTATTTCAGAGTATTTCTCTGAGACACAGTTTTTAGTCTGGATGTCTTGTGCAGAGCACATTCAGGGCTTTTCAGAGTTTCATGTCTGATATTAATTT